CGCTGACAACAACTGCTGGATGCTGGTTCCTGCCTCACGCTGGAAGGTGGATTGGACAGGAGCACGCCCAAACCAGAAAAAGAAGCAATACAAGGAACGGTCTTTCTCCCCACTCGCGCCCTCCACAGTCAATGCCTGTGTCAAGCTGGTGCAGGCCACAAGCCCCGACCAAGTTCGAAGCATCCTTGACAGCTTGGGTTTGTATGAGTCCACCACCGGACACTTTCAGTGGCAAAAGGCTGCCAAGCTCTTTGATGATTGGAACTTGGTGGTGCAAGGCCCAATTTGCGAGCAGTACTGGCAACTGCATGGCGCGCCACTTTGCCCGGAGGCGGATCGCAATCCACATGCTTTTTGCCTGTGCTTCAATTGCGGTGTGGCCGCACGCTGGGGGCCATGCGAGCACGCGTACTCCCTCATGCTCCACCAAAACACCATCGATGTGGTCCAGCTGCCGCGTCCACGGCCCAAGGGCCGGCCAAAGACACGCTCACAGCATTGTCCGCCCGGTGGCACCCTGACTCCAGGGCCAGCTGTCTCGAGAGCTTCTCCAGCCACGCCTCTCTCCGCAGATGTACTTCAGTCGCAGGCCTTGTCTGCTTCGGAGTCCGTCCTGCGAGAATTGCTCCGTCGCGCCGGCTGCGGCCACTACTTCCCGGCCATGAAGCGGCACGGCGCGACGGTCCAAGCTCTTTCATCCTTTGGCTTTGCTGATTTCGTCACGATCTTCGGCATGAAGGTTTCCGAAGCTCACATTTTGATGTCGGCCTTGAAAGACGAGGCTGGGAGCATTTGTGCGAAAGAACTTTGGAGCTGCCACCATGTTCTTCTCACTGACATTTCCATATACTTTCAAGATTTTGCGTGAGGCATCAGCAAGTGCGGTGAAGACCTTAGTGCTACTGCTTGTTTCTTTTTGTATGCCTCCAACAACAAGATTTTGCCTGAGGCGTCAGCAAGTGCAGTGAAGACCTTAGTACTACTGCGTGTTTCTTCTCGTACGCCTCCAACAACATGCTTGAAGCGCGCAGGCCAGAAGAGCAGAAAACATGCCACACAGCGGGGTCAGGGCCTCATACCTATACCGCCCAACTGTCGCCACTTTCCCCATAGTAGGGCTGTCGCTTTGCCGTAATCTTTTGCTTTTCTTTCTTTTGCATTCCTTGAGGAAAACTGCCAACATAGCGGCCCGCAGGCCTGTTACATCCAAGCTTTTGGCTCCAACTGTTTACGCATGTTCGATTGGCCCGGGCTGTCATTTTCTTCTCGCTACCTTTCTTCATCTTAGATGTGAGGCGTCAGCAAACGTTGTGAAGACCTTAGTGCTGCTGCGTGAAAGAACTGTAAATATGGCACTGCAATTCTCAGCCAACATCTCCTTTTGAGATTTCCTTTAAGCCGCGTGTGAGGTATCAGCAAGTGTTGTGAAGACCTTAGTTCTGCTGCGTGTTTCTTTTCGTACTCCTCCAACCGCATGTTCGAAGCGCCCAGGCAGGCAGACCCGAAAGTATGCCACACAGCGGGGTTAGGGCCTCAAACCTATCGCCCATGGCTGTGTGAGCTTTTGCTTTTGGTTCTTCGCCTCTCCGTCAGGAAAACTGTCCACATACGGCTCCGCAGGCCTGGAACATAATATGCTCGATTGGCTTCAGCTATCAGATTCTTCCCATTGAGATTCCTTGTCACATGAGAGGCTTCAGCAAGTGTTGTGAACACCTTAGTGCTCCCTGCGTGTCCCTTTTCGGGCGCATCCAACAACATGTCGAAAGCACCCAGGCCAAAAGAGCACAAAGTACGCCGCAAAGCGGGGTCCGGGCCTCATGCTGTCTGTACTTTCGCCACTCGTGCCGTAGTAGGGCTGTCGATTTGCCATTCTCTTTTGCTTTTCTTCTTTTGCCCTCTCTTAGGAAGCCTGTCCAGATAGCAGTCCGCAGGCCTCGTACTAGTTTGTGACTTCTTCAATTTTATCGATGTTCCTTTAGCTTTTCGATCAGCCATGTCTTTGGAGGCCTCGCCTCGTTTGTGGAGAGTTCCTTCGGCTGCACAATGCGTTCCGCTTACTCCTGTCTGCACCCTCATACTCTTGCTTGCTTCTAAGGGCCTGTCTCAGCGTGACCGGCTACTCGCACTACGCCGGGCACACGCGCTGTAAAAAGGATTTGCGCCAGAGCTTCTCATTGTCGTCCAAACTCATGGCTGCATGGTTGCTTGCATGGCCACCTGCATTTAGCCACCAGAACCCAACGAACGCCACCTAAGTGGAGATGCGAAGGGCTCTACTCAGCTAGCAATGAATAAGGGCCAAACCTTCTGACCCCAAATATGTCTCCTACGCCAGTTCTCTTTCTCTTTGCTCTTTCTCAAACTCTGTGATAGGTCGGAATTTCTCTGTCACCTACACTATTCCAATGTATTTTGCCAGCTATAACACCTGTGTCTCTGCTACGGACACGACATTGATGTAATTGGCTAGGAACTACAAAGAAACCTGCATTATTCCAATGTTTTTTGCCAGCTACGACAGCCCTGTCTCTGCTAGATATACCAAATTGGTCTAGTCAGCTAGCAAAACATATGTAACCTGCACTATTCCAATGTATTTGGCCAGCGACACCTGTGTCTTTGCTAAGGACACGAAATTTCTGTAATTAGCTAGGAATTAATAAGAAACCTGCTCTATTCCAATGTTTTTATTTTGCCCGCTACGGCCGCTGTTTGTCGTGCAAGGACCCTCAATTGCGGCAATTAGCAGGAAAATGTCAACCGGATGATTCTGAAAAAAATTTCCGAAAAAAAATGAAAAAAAATCCCACATTAAAAGCGTACCCGTATGGGTGGGTTTATTCATCAAGAGTCTACATGACCCAGAGGCTCCATAGGACCAACAATTGGCAGTTCTTGGTGCTGAATCTGGGCCATGTTTGCACCACCGTCGAGCTTTTTGATGTATAAGAGATAACAAGTCAATGGCATGAGGAGGGAGCCTATGATATGCCATCTACTGGTGCAGAGGCAAACATGCCATCCACCCTCCATTCCCCGTGTTCCCCTTCGGGGCAGTGCTTCGCATGGCTTCGCCGAACATGGCTTTTGATGGCTCAAAAGAGGACCGACCAGACCAGGGCCACCCGTTGATCTTTTGTGCTCCTGTCAATTCCATTGGAAGAACTTCCTAGCTACAGCCTACCAATGACTTAGAAACATCAGCAGGTGGACAATCAAAAGCATGCCACATCATGAAACCAGGAGTTTGCAGTACAAAACCTAAGCCAGCCCTGGAAGAGGGTCGCTGTGACATTGTCAGCACTCCGACATGCCATTAATTCACCGTGCAGTATGGTGTTCCAAGCGATGTGGTAGCGCAGAGGTCATCCTTGGATGCTTCTGCAACCAAGAGCCCAACTCCATGACGGTCCAGTTGGCTCAATGCAAGCCAAATGAAACTTTGCAAACCAGCTGTCTTTGTATGACGTTTTCATCCTCGCAGCCTCATCCGTCATATCATGTCTCCAAGGCAAACTGATGTATGTCAAAAAAGTGTTGGTCGCATGAAGACATATACAACCCAGTTGGCCTACTCGCAATCGTGGTTCCTATAATTGGCCCCATTGTTGTTTAAAGTGCTCCTATGTCCGATTTGATTACTCAGCTCAGTTGGCACAATGTAGCACAAATTGCCCAGCCACCATCATCCAATGGAATTTTTGAATACCTGAAACCATCAAGCGATTGTAGACCTGTTCTTTCCTTTTTCTCCTGCGCTATGGCCGAGTTGATTCGCTCAGGCACACGCAAAATCAGATCTGTGCCAGTGCCGGTATGACCGGCTTTCATCTGTCTGAATAAGTTGAATAAAGACAGAGCGTGAGTGGAAATAGTTGCTCCCCGAAAAAGCCATTGCACCTGATTTTGGACCCAGGGCCCAGGGAATAAAAATATATTCTTCTACAAATCAGCGCCGGTGACTTGGGGAATCTTGGGATGTAAAGCCTCAACCTCATTGATCTCTTCCAGTGTGCAGCTGAAGCTTGTAGCAATCCAGTTAAAGCTACGATCCGAAGAGGACATGAACACCGATCCCTGGCCTAAGGATCCAACATGATCCAACAAGCTCGTTGAACTGCTTGGTGCATTCATTTACTTGTTGCCCTTCAAAATGAGGGAGTGACGGGCCCCCAGTTGACCATTCTTTGGGGGGAATGGTTGGACGACACCGGCCTTCCCAGATGCAGCAGAGATGCACCAGATGATACCAGATGCACCTTCCCAAAACGGGACTGAGGGACTAGCGACTGGGCCATGATCCTTGCAGGCCCAGTGCCCCTGTGTGGGGCTGAAACGTCTTCCTCACTGCAGCCGCCAGCTCAGCGTCGTTTGAGGTTGCGGGTCCTGAAGTTGCGTTTGTGGGAGAAGTGTCTTGAAGGGATCGAATCATATCATTGATCATGAATCATACTCTTTGTTATTGTTGTTGTCTTGTTATAAGGTCAGTTTAGTTTAGTTTGACTTCACTGTTCTTCGAAGCCTCCTGCACATCCTGAACCGGCCGACGATGTTTGGCTCAGCAGTGAGAGCAGCAGCCGACTTATGTTCTTGAGCTACGGAGCACTGAGATGAACAAGAATACAATGTATAGTATATATATATATATAACAGATTCATTTAGTATGTACATGTATACACACACATGCAAACATATACATATATATCTTATAATATAGTCGAGATGTATCATTGATATATACATCCCGACGTCACACTTGTTTACACCGAGTATCGGCGCTAGTTCCCGGACCCAAGACAGCAACTTGTGCACAACTCTTCCTTGAGTGGATCCACAAAACTCGCTACAGGTGGACTAGACCAAAATAAAACAAGTCTTGGCCTTATGCATATACGGCCTTGAAAACGCCGACCTGCCAAGGTCTTTATATATTGTTTTTGTTTTGTTAGATTTTGCCTGAAGCAATTGGTCAATGGAGTAACTTCACCTCCGGAGCCAGCCAAGCAGCAATTTTCGATCCCTGTCCCATTGTCCACACTGCCGGTATCCAAAAACCGGCCCGGGCTGACTCGCACATGGTCGCAGAGGAGGGCAAGGGGCGCCTTGGAGCACGGATGGCACACCTAAATCTTCCAACTGTGCGGCAAAGTCTATCCAGCTTGGCTAGTTTGGAACGAAAACCGCAGGAATCCTGCACGGCAGGATGATGCAGGTACCAGCTATAGAACCTAGATCCCCTTGTTTAGACTATGACTACCAAGCACTCAAAGTATGCTGCTTATTTCTTTCAAGGGGCTCTAGATGCTAGCAGCAATCACCTTGAGACGTGTTATGAACCAATGACTACCGTGACGACCCTGGTCTCATGTCACCTTCGATTGTTGTTGGAGATGGTACACATTGATGATCTCCCAGAGACTTCCATGGGACTGGAATACATGCTAGTCCTCGAGCCCCAGAAATCCACCACCCCCCCTTTGTATCGAAAGATGCTATAATGCTATAGTCCTTGTGTGTGGGACTCGAAAAAGTGGCTTCCAGCACATCCAGAATGTGAGCTCAAGCGTTTGGTATGTCAATCATGTATGCCAGTTCCATGGTTTGGGTCGTGTTTAAGGCCTTAAGATCGATTTGGCACGGGCTTGTGCCCTCCCGGTTTTTGGAACACAGAGGTCCAACCCTCTCAAGCTCTCAAGTCGGTCGTGCCGGCTCGGATCTGGCAGCGATGGATGGAGCTTCCCTCTACCATGTAGTAGCCTTGAAAGTCCACCTTTCGAAGACATGCGCCAGCTGACTGCACCATGACTGCAGCTTTCTCCAGCTTCTTCGCTTGCTCGGTGTCTAAGGATGGGCAAAGATGAAAGCTCTTTGTCTCACTTCTATGTGCCATGGCCGCGGGATCAAACGGGGCACCGGGCACCGGGAGTTCTGGGCTGAGAGGAGGAACACCGCGACCTGCACGGAGGCGAAGTTCAATGGTTCTCGTCCGGGGTCGCCGCCCTTTTTGTTCTCCCCCTAATTAATGGACGAAAGAACACTCTTTCCAAGAGAGGTTGAACAGCCCTTAGGGCGCCCATCCCGTATGTACCACTACAGGGTCTTAGTTCAGGTCTCTCAACCTCTCTTGGTTTTCTAAATGAATATTGTGACATCTTCCCAAGGTTCCCTTTCTCAAATCATGTGACCCCCTCTGTAGTCTTTTGGTGACCCCAGTGTAGTCGCCGCCGGTTTAGCTCTGGAAATGCCCATGTCCCAACAGCCCTGCAGGAATATATATATATATACATACATACAGTATACAATTGTATATATATATATATAGCTGCTACCATGGGCATGCGCCAATTCAAAGTTTCAGCAGAGAAAACAATTAACTTAAAACTTGGTGACTTTTCCTCAACCATATTGAGTAACACTAGCTCGACATCCTTTCAGGCCAATATATAATGGGTTAACTCACTTGCCATCCCGGCCTTTTGTTTCAACTCTGGCCAAGCCATTCAATGCCCCACTAGCCTAGCCCCCCGCACAGAAAAAAGACACATACCACCTGCCACCGAGTGCGGCGCCTGCCTGCCATTGGCCAAGGAGAAGCTCGGCTCGGAGCAGAAGAAGAGCCTCGCCGCCGCCGTCACCGAGAAGTTACAAGGCCGCCTCCACGGTGCCATTCCGCGAGGGTGTTCACCCGCTGCGCCGAAGTCACGCACGCGGGGTATCTCAGGAGTTTTTCAGGAGTCTCCACAAGACGCCCACGCGAAAAGACGGGTCAAAAGATCATGGTTTCATTCTTCTTTCGCCTGGTTGGGCTCCTGACCCATCTCAGAAGGCCTACCATCTAACCGAAACAGAGGTCGGCCAGGAGAGCTTGTAGTAGGACGTGTGTTGCTCCAGAGACGAGGCTCGCCTGGGTGCATCGTAGGGCTCCAGTCATACCTCCTCAGAAGGTATGACTGGACCCTCCTGGCACCCACCCCAGTCCCACTTTCGAAACGATTGTACGACTGGAGCCCTAGGGTTTCCATGAACAAACATGGAACTTCAACAATTCGAGCCTGGTTTTTTCGTACGAGACGACATGTTCAGGTGTCATCCCCGGTCTTTGGCTGGGAGAAGTCACGACGGGATGGGGTTCCCAGTCCCGCTCCAATCACCCTTTGACAGGACCGAAGCAACCAGGGATCAAAAGATCACAGATCCAAGGATGTGTTGAACTTCTTTTCTGGTTGGAGCTTCGGTTTGTTCAGAAAGCATATGCAAGAATGAGGGGGGACCTTGGAACATGTAAACTAAAAGTGTTGCATGGGTGGACCTTGGGGTGGGGTGGTGGATAATATGTGACTTACAATTTAGGGAGTCCCCCCATGCAGTTTTTATATTATATAATACATTTAATAAGGACCTCCTTTACTTTTAGAAGAAGGAACATTGGGTTGCGGGTGAGGAGGAGAGGAAGGAGAAGGAGGAAATGGAAGAGGGAAGGAGAGGAGGGAATGAAGAAAGAGGCACCTCCAAACATGTCAGCATCATGGCAGGCAACATTCTGGAGGTACGTGAGGTCCCGTGAGTTTAGGATTCGGGATTGCGACTTTGGAAGCAGATGTTATGTTGTCGTTGTTGGTTTCAGATGTATTTGCCCTGTGATGTGCTTTCAGTCCATGTCCCACAAACTCCAGGCGGCACAAATATGGGCCTAGATTCATCATCAAGTACCAGTCATGTAGGCCGTATGTGCAGTCCCATGAAGCCTTTGGGTGTCCAGGCTGATCGATGAAGCATCAGGCGGACGCCCGGGAGTGGCGTAACGGTCGCGGTGCCGGTGCAGGTATCATCGGCGGGTATGGCGAACTGAGCGTCTTGGTGGAGTATATCTCAGTGACACGGCTGCACCGGCGTGGTCACGGCAGGATGGCTGGGATGGTGGGATGGCGGCCTGCGGGGGGGGATCAAGTCGGACAGGCCTCAGGAGGTGGTTGATGTGCACCCCCATCTGTCGACATCATGAGCTCTGAAACCACTGCAAAACACGGACGACGGCGGACATATACGGGCCCCACCCCTTTTGGCGACGCTGGGCGGTGCGCCATGATAGGCAGCTCGATCCTCACACTGCTGCTCGCACTAACCCGATTCTCTGGCTTAACCGGCGCCCCGCTGATGCCGCTGCGATGGGGCTCGCTCCACACCACTCAGGTGATGTTGCAGTCCTCCCGGCCCAAGGAAACCATCCAAACGGAGCTGGAGGCCGCCAGCGGTTCGGTGGAAGCGCTTCGCGGTGGAACGTAGCTGGACCGAAGCGGGGTCAATCTGTGGAGGCGAGGTGCATCCGGTCCACATGGGATGCATTCGGTGCCCATGGAATTTCTGACCACTGGTATGTGGAACATGGTCTTTCCACGCGCAAGAGTCCATGTGTGGTTCGTGATGAAACTAAGAAGCCCACCTACGAGGCTCCAAAGAGCTGATTGGGATGGAAGGTGTCATGGCTCAGCCTGGAGGATGTTTTTGTTCAGCCTGGAGACCAACCAGTCCACCATGTCGAACGAGCTTTCGGATAGGTAGGTAGGTCAGTTCAAATACGCTAACACTACAGCCACATATGGTTTTTCTTCGGTTCACACCCTTCACACCCAGTACCACAGAGTAGCACAGAGTACGTAGTATGGGGAGCGTGGGGAGCGCTGTCCGCATGGTGTCCGCAAGTCGTGTTGCCAAGGTATCCTGGCGACCCAGAACCAGATCAAAATCCTTTACAACTGGACAGACTGGACACTTACTCAAGAGCCAGCGGCCAGCCTGCTTGAGTATGTTTGGAACACAAACCCTGATCACACTTGAACACACCCGGTATGGACTGGTTGAGCCGTCAACAACCAGGGGCGAAAACCGCGAGTATCCGGGGTCTGGAAGGCCTTCTTACAAGATGAGAGTGGGCCCTTCACCACTTGGCTTTGCCAAAAGCTGGAGAAGATGACTGATGCTTGGCGGATAAAGACTCTGGAATCCGTCTGACCGCAAGATCCAATCCATGTGCCAAGCATTGTTATTTTTTCGTAAGCCAAGTTACTTGATTGAGTTGCCAACGAATTACTTCAACGGCGGGTCTTTGCCTCTCAGCCCTGCTCGGGATTGTTGCATGAGGAGAGCGGCAAAACGCGGCGCCGCAAGCGGGACGAGGATCCTGGCGCCGCACCCAAAGACGAAGCAGCGCGAAAGGCGAACGCCTTCGCTGAGAGGTTGAGACGTTTGGATGTCAGAGCGCTTTGTTCAAAGGTTCTCACACAATCATTCTACCAGGACCCTCCTGTCGGGGTGTCCTGGCTGGACTACCCCACACTACCTATAGGCTTCCATTGGGCATCCCTTCAAGGGTCCTGGTAGTCTATGATATTTTATTTTTTGTCACAATTCGATGAATTCAGGAACATGATCACCCCACAATGGACTTGGACTTGGACCTTGAATGTGTTTTTTCCTAAAATAGTTGTCATATCAAATCATATCAATCCGATCGATGTACTGTAGATCATTTTACGATGTCCAAGGCATTGAAAGGCTACATGTTGCAAGGCTTGTTCACTTTCGTTTGGCATCGCTGTGACGTTTTGCCGCCGCGGACGGCCGCGTTCGTTGGAGTGTCGTGAGGAACGACCCCGATAGAGGATTCGCACCACGCCATCTCTACAGGAGTAGCCATAGAGTGGTGGTCGGAGAGTAGCCACATGCTGTACTGCAGGTATGAGAGAAGCATAGAGAAGCAAGAAAATACTCTGGAACGTCACTGGCCATAGTTATCAGGAGAGTGACCCCCGCTTCATCCCCCCTTCTATCCCCTTCTAATTGACTAGACCGATCAGCGCAACCAAACAAAAAGCCGACTTGCACAGTTCGGAGCACGTCAATACCTTCAAGCACCAACCAATCAGAAAAGCACTTCATTTCATAAAATTGTGCCACCAGGCTAAAAAGGAAAAGAAGGCCGCCGCTGCCGCGGCCGCGGCTGCCGCGGCTGCCGCTGCCGCCGCCTCCGCCGCGGCCCCG